CACGTACCTCGGTTGCAGTTTGTCCCCGGCCCTGGTTGGTCGTGCGGGTGGCAGCCACTCGATGTGTCCCTTCACATTGATGTTTCTCTCTCTCTCTCTTCCTCTCTCTCCCTCCCGCTCTATCTGAACAAAAAATGGAAAAATGTCCTCGGGTGAGGATAAAAAAATATATAAAAAATAAAAAAATTAAATTAAAAAAAGACTTCAAATTACTTCCTCAAATTATTCAGAAAACCTTATATATAAATTAAGTCTATATATATGCATTGCATTTGATTTTACATGTCACATGAGTTTATTATATATTTTATACATTATAAATTATTTTATATATTGTATACATATGTAATATTTATAATACATTATATTCAGTTATAAATTATATTATAGATATATTATTATATAATATACATTATATATCCTATTATATACTTATTCACATTTATATACATAAATATATAATAAATATATATAATATAGATTGGGGTGACTGCTCATGGGGATGGGGTTTCCTTTTGGGGTGACAAAAATACAGGGGTGGGCCCTGGCTGGTGTTGCTCAGTGGTTAGAGTGTTGGCCCTTGCACTGAAGGGTCGTAAATTCAATTCCCAGTCAACGGCATGTACCCAGGTTGTAAGTTCAATCTCTGACCCCAGTTGGGGCACATGCAAGTAGGTTTACAGTTGTTTATATGGAAAATAATACAGTAATTAATAGATAATAATACAAAAATAACTTCCATGTACTCACCATTGTAAACCTAGTTTTGCTTACCCCGTGTTTTGGAACTAGATAGAGGTGATGGTAGTACAAACATTGTGAATACTAAACACGCTGAGTGGTACATGTTAACATGGATAATTTTATTTCAACTTTTAAAATTACAGACTCAAAGAAAAGTTTCTCTCTTGCTTGTCATAGAGAACCATGCACTCCTGCTACTCAACATTTTTTTTTTTGTCTGTTGATTATATTTAATTCTACTCAACAACATTTCTGTTAGAAACAAGCGAAGGTTGCCTCTTAAGACCCTCCATATGAAAGAAAAAATACATATCATTGAACGCCACTGATGTCAGTCATCACTGCCTAGGAAGCAGTGACTAAAGTGCCCCCACATAGCTCTCCCACACAGACTCCTCTCTTCCCCCACACTTCATGTGTGCGTGGATATCTTCACAGGTCAGACTTCTGCTATAAAAAAAAGTACACTTCACCACAGACAGCTAAGAAAGTAGTGTGGACAATGTTTTATCTTGAAGAAAAAATCAAGAGGATTTTGTTGAAGTGTCCTTTTGATAGATGTGTTTAGTTCTGGCCCTGGCCGGTTTGGCTCAGCGGTTGGAGCGTCGGCCTGCGGTACAGAGAGACCCGGGTTCGGTTCCCGCTAAGGGCACATACCTCGGTTTGTCCCCGGCCCTGGTTGGTCATGCGGGTGGCAGCCACTCAATGTGTCCCTTCACATCGATGTTTCTCTCTCTCTCTCTCTTCCTCTCTCTCCCTCCCGCTCTAGCTGAACAAAAAATGGAAAAATGTCCTCGGTGAGGATAAAAAAAAAAAAAGATGTGTTTAGTTCTGAATGTTTCATTCAGTATGTTATAAAAAGAATCAACTGCATAATTGATTTAGGGACTTCTAAAGAGAAGGGAGTGTCTCCTCATTGTTGGTGGAGCATTCCCCTAAAATGCTGTCTTGTAGACATGGAGTGAATGATTCATTGAGATACTGAATGCACCATGCCTACTCTAAGGTCTATCCCCTGGGTCTTTGCTCCTGTGTGTGGTTTTAAAGCATATCTTCAAACTTATTGACATCTCTCCCACATCTAATTCCCTTCCCTTGAGAGAGTGGTGTCTGATTCTCTCTCCTTGCAGTGGGTCACACTTTAGCAAGCTTCTTCCAGAAAATGGCATAGGGTGAAAGTTACCCTGAGTGACACTTCCTAAAGGCTCCGCAAATACAGTCACATTGGGGGTTAGGGCTTCAACATAGGAATTTGGGGAGGACATAATTCAACCCACAGCAGTCACTAAGCCTGGGTAATTTGTGAAGCCAAACTAGACAACTAGAATGATATGGAACTCTGCCTCTTTCAACAGCTCTACCTGAAAAACTCCCTGTCTATAATGAAACATCTCCCAACTCTTTCCCTCCCCAGCCAGGTACGATCTATTCCTCCTCTGGGCTCCCACATCCCTGACCACACACCCTGACTTAACCTACCTCCCTTGATCAAATTCTGGGTTCTTTTTTTAAAATTGATTGATTTCAGACAGAGGAAGGGAGAGGGAGACAGATGTTTCTATCTAGAAACGTCAATGAGAGAGAAACATTGATCAGCTACCTCCTGCTGCCTCCTGCATGCCCCCTTCTGGGGATTGAGCCAGCAACCCAGGCATATGCCCTGACTGGAAATCAAACTAGCAACCTGCTGGTGTAGGGGATGATGCTCAACCAACTGAGCCACAACCGGCTGGGCAGATTCTGGGTTCTTAAGAAGAGTTGTCTGCATGCTCACTCATACATCCCCACGTTGTAGCAAGTGACCCAAAACATAGTGGGTGCTTAGAATATCAATAAATATGGCTGAATTAATGAAATAAAGATGGTCGTGCGGGTGGCAGCCACTCGATGTGTCCCTTCACATCGATGTTTCTCTCTCTCTCTCTTCCTCTCTCTCCCTCCCGCTCTAGCTGAACAAAAAATGGAAATATACCAATATCTCAGGCTGAATTAAACAGCATAGATCTATCTAGTCCCTTCAAGAACACAATGCCCCAGCCCTGGCCAGTTTGGCTCAGCAGTTAGAGTGTTGGCCTGAGGTCCAGAGACCTGGGTTCGGTTCCCACTAAGGGCATGTACCTCGGTTGCAGTTTGTCCCCGGCCCTGGTTGGGTCTTGCGGGTGGCAGCCACTCGATGTGTTCCTTTCACGTAGATGTTTCTCTCTCTCTCCCTCCTGCTCTGTCTGAATAAAAAACGGAAAAATATCCTCAGGTGAGGATAAAAAAAAAAAAAAAAGAACACAATGAGCCCAGTTGGTGTGGCTCAGTGGATTGAGCATTGTCCCTTGCACCAAGAGATCACCGGTTCAATTCCCGGTCAGGGCACATGCCCAGGTTGCAGGCTCAAACCCAACTTGGGGACATGCAGGAGGCAGCTGATCAATGTTCTTTCATCGATGTTTCTATCTCTCCCTCTCCCTTCCTCTCTCTCTAAAAATAAATAAAATAAATAAAAATATATTTTAAAAAAGAACACAATGAGCCCTGGCCAATTTGGCTCGGCAGTTAGAGCACTGGCCAGCAGACCAAAGGGTCATGGGTTCGATTCCTGGTCAAGGGCATGGACCTGGGTTGCAGGTTTGATCCCTGGCCCCAGTTGGGGTTGTGCAGGAGGCAACCAATAGATGTTTCTCTCTCACTCTCTCCCTCCCTCCCACCCTATCAAAAAAATCAATGGAGAAATATCCTCTGGTGAGGATTAACCAAAAAAAAGAAAACACAATGAGACTGTTTCATAGAAACTAAATTATGGCATATTTTCCTATTGAACAGGCAGTTCCCCAGAGTGGAAACAGACATAGTAAACAAACTCTTGGGGAACTGTGTGATTTGGTTAGTAATTACAGACAGGCAAATTAAAGCCACAAGTTAAATTTAATACTATTCCAGTTACTATTGCTGCATCACAAACTACTCCAAAATATACAGGCTTAATGCAATCATTTCTTATATGTCATGGGTTCTGTATGTCAGGAATTTGGGCAGAGCTCAGCTTGGGGGTGGGAGAGGGAGCTGCTTCTATTACCTGTGGGTGGTGTCAGCTGATGAATGACTAGTATGGAAGGTCCAAAACAACTTCACTCACTCAGGGAACACCCCAGAGGGGATGGCTGGGTTCAACCTGAGAATGGACAATAGGGTCTGCACTGGTTTGTCCAGCATGACAGTGTTGACTTCTTTCATGGTAGCTGGCTTCCCCAGACTGGGCATCTCAAGAGAATAGCGGATTACATAGAATTGATAATGAGTATTTCTGACTAGTACTAACATTGAGAAAAAGACTTTCCTATAAGCAATTGAATAAAAAAAATTCCTTTGAATCTTAAAAAAAAAAAAAAACCCACAAAAAACAAGAGAGAGAACAAGGGAAGCTGGTGACCTTTTATACCCTAAACTCAAAAATCCCAGTACCATTTCTGCCTTATTCTATAGGTCAAAGCAGGCACGTGTCCACCCACATTCAAGGACAGGGTAGTAGTCCTCACCTCTCATGGGAGGAGTGTCAAGGACCAATCAAACTGAGGATGTGAGCCCTCATTTGCATAGAAAGGAATTGATCAGGGACAGGGGTCAGCACCGTTCTCTTTATAAGCCTGCTTCACAGGCCTCAGTGGAGCTCCCTTTGTTTCCCTCCAAGACTGTTTCCTCAGCAGGAGCTGTAACATCAGAACTGAAGCAGCAAGAGACCCTCACTGGAGCTGCTTGGACCAAGGGGTCTCACACCCACGCTGTCTCACAGCCCGGCCGTTCCACACCCAAGCTATATCACAACTAAGTTGTCACTAAAGCCTCCCCCCTTTACCGCACCCCAAGAATTTCTTGGTGGCAGCCACCTTCAGTTGAATATTAATGGGTGAGTAAATAAAATAATAAATGAATGAGAAATTAGTGCAGGGGATTGCCCCTTAGGGCCACCTGTACTTACTGCACCCCTAACATTCTTGCCCCGCCGGCTTTCCTGCCTCCCCTGAGCGCCCCCTGTCTGTCAGCAGCCCAAATTAGACCGTTTGGCCGGCTTAACCAGCCTTCACTCTCAATAATAGGCGCCAAGTTGCTCCCGATGCCTTTTGGGGAACGTAGTCTTTGACCTTCGCTTGCGTTTCCTGTGGGCACCGGCTTTGAGACAGCCACAGAACTTCCGTGGGTGCCGTAAACTGTCGCGATAGCATTGCATCTCGGGAATTGTAGTCCTCCGCTGACAGTTTCCACTACAATCGGCTGCAAATGGAACGACAATTCCCACCATGCACCGTGCTACAAGTTCGCTGGGGCTAGCCCGCGAACTTCTGGGAGATACAGTCCTCGAACTTCGCAGTTCCTTCTCTACCTTACACAGTAGGCCGGCTGAGAGGACTACATGTCTCTACGCGCTCCCATTAGACAACGGCACCAGGCAGCGGCAACCATTTTGTACCGCCCAAGGGGCCCTTAAGATGGCGGCGGGGGAGACGGTGAAGGTTGCAGCCTGCTCCTCCGGGCTGTAGCTCGCCGTCTCCCCGTCTCCCCGTCTCCCCGTCTCCCGGCGGCCGGCCCATGTTGGCCTGGCGGAATTCCGGACCATGGACCTCCGCACCGTCGTGTACAACGCCGCCCGCGACGGCAAGCTTCAGCTGCTTCAAAAACTGCTCAGCGGCCGGAGCCGGGAAGAGCTGGACGAGCTGACGGGCGAGGTGGCCGGCGAGGGGACGCCGCTGCTCATTGCCTCCCGCTACGGCCACCTGGACGTGGTCGAGTACCTGGTGGACCGGTGCGGGGCGAGCGTGGAGGCGGGAGGCTCTGTGCACTTCGATGGCGAGACCATCGAGGGCGCGCCGCCGCTGTGGGCCGCCTCAGCCGCCGGCCACCTGGACGTGGTGCAAAGCCTGCTGCGCCGTGGGGCCTCGGTGAACCGCACTACGCGCACCAACTCCACGCCCCTGCGCGCCGCCTGCTTCGATGGGCACCTGGAAGTGGTGCGCTACCTGGTGGGCGAGCATCAGGCCGACCTGGAGGTGGCCAATCGGCACGGGCACACTTGCCTCATGATCTCCTGTTACAAGGGGCACCGTGAGATCGCCCGCTACCTGCTGGAGCAGGGCGCCCAGGTGAACCGGCGCAGCGCCAAGGGTAACACGGCCCTGCACGACTGCGCCGAATCCGGCAGCTTGGAGATCCTGCAGCTGCTGCTTGGGTGCAACGCCCGCATGGAACGCGATGGCTACGGCATGACTCCGTTGCTGGCGGCCAGCGTGACCGGCCACACCAACATCGTGGAGTATCTTATCCAGGAGCAGCCTGCTGGGAAGGAGGTGCAGCCAGGGCTGGCCCAGGAAGGTCCTTCCACCAGTCCCGGATGCATGAAGCCCCAGGAGGCCAGTTGTTGCAGTTCCTCCCCGGAGGAACCACTTGGCAGTGAATCGTATGAGAGCTGCTGCCCCACTAGCCGGGAAGCTGCGGTGGAAGCCTTGGAATTGCTGGGAGCCACGTATGTCGATAAGAAGCGTGATTTGCTTGGGGCCCTGAAACACTGGAGACGGGCTATGGAGCTGCGTCACCAGGGGGGCGTGTATCTGCCCAAACCAGAGCCCCCGCAGCTAGTCCTGGCCTATGATTATTCCAGGGAGGTGAATACTGCAGAGGAATTGGAAGCGCTTATAACCGACCCGGACGAGATGCGCATGCAGGCCCTGTTGATACGAGAGCGCATCCTGGGACCTTCTCACCCAGACACTTCTTATTATATTCGTTACAGGGGCGCAGTGTATGCCGACTCAGGCAATTTTGAGCGCTGTATCCGCTTGTGGAAATATGCCCTAGACATGCAACAGAACAACCTGGAGCCTCTGAGCCCCATGACCGCCAGCAGTTTCCTTTCATTTGCTGAACTCTTTTCATACGTGCTTCAGGACCGGTCGGCCAAGGGCAGCCTGGGCACACAAATCGGCTTTGCAGACCTCATGGGGGTGCTCTGCAAAGGGGTTCGGGAAGTGGAACGGGCCCTACAACTGCCCAAGGAACCGGGGGACTCTGTCCAGTTCACCAAGGCCCTGGCCATCATCCTCCACCTGCTTTATCTGTTGGAGAAAGTGGAGTGCACACCAGACCAGGAGCATCTAAAGCATCAGACCGTTTACCGGCTGCTGAAGTGTGCCCCCCGGGGCAAGAACGGCTTCACCCCTTTGCACATGGCCATGGACAAGGACACCACAAATGTGGGCCGATACCCCGTGGGCAGATTCCCCTCACTCCAGGTGGTCAAGGTACTGCTCGACTGTGGGGCCGACCCGGACAGTAGGGACTTTGACAACAACACCCCATTGCACATAGCAGCCCAGAACAATTGCCCAGGAATTATGAATGCCCTGATTGAAGCGGGGGCCCACATGGATGCCACCAATGCCTTCAAGAAAACAGCCTATGAGCTGCTGGATGAGAAGCTGCTGGCTAAGAGCACCATTCAGCCCTTCAACTACGTAACCCTGCAGTGCCTTGCAGCCCGCGCCCTGGACAAAAATAAGATCCCCTACAAAGGCTTCATCCCCGAAGAGCTGGAGGCTTTCATCGAGCTGCACTGATAGGATTCTGAGAGTAGCCCACACCAGTCCTTGCCCTCTTGCTGAACACTTCAAGTGGCATGAAACTGGAAGAAGGGTTTTCCTACCTCCACAGCCCTTCACCTCTGCAGAGTGGGGAAAGGAGTTAGCTATTGGTGCTAGAAGCCTTCCAGATCATGTGCTCAGAGAACTGTCTTTCTCCAGGAGCACATGTACCATCCTTAATTGGCAGAAGATGCACGACCTTCCACACATCCCATCTGTCTGGATCTCAGAAGATTTTGCTTTCTTACTGAGAGGCAGAGGGATTGAAGCCATTGCCTTTCTCCTTTGCTAGAAACAGGAAGAAACTGAAAACTGGGTCTGTCCTTCTTTGCCCCTTACATGGCTGGATAAACCAAGCCACAAAATGCAGTATGAGGACTGGGGGGTCCCAAGATGGAAAGTTGAAGACTCAAAAAGCAAGACCACCTGTCACTTCTTCCAGCACAGTCGCACCCCGCTCCCTCCCGCGTTGCCATAGTTGGCCTACATAGGCAGGGATCTCTGTTCAGGGCAGCCTGCCACTTGCATAGCTTTGGGCTGGTTTGGTGTTCTGTTTGTTTAGTAGGTGGGCAGGCTACAGGCATTGCACAGGAGTGCTGAGGTATTGCTGCCATTTTTTTTTTCTTAAGAATTTGAAATTTCTTTTAAGACTTGATAAGTTAATTTTGCTCACCAAGGGTTTTGTCGCACCTGGGGTGGCCAAGGCCCTCAGGAGCGAGTTTTTGTGTGAAGAATTGGTAAAGGAGGTAGAAAACTGTGGTAGCAGCTCCTAAAACACAGGTGGCTGTACATTTCTTAAATCTTCACTCATTTGCCTTTTACCTGGGCCTTGTATTCCCATCCTCATTAAAGAAGTATTTTTTTCTAAACAGGTTCAAGCCAAACACCCAAGTTGCTGAGCTTGATATGAGTTTCCCACTGTGAGAACTAGCAAGGTTGGTTTGGGGCATGGTTTACACAGATTTAGAATTAGAACTGCAGGATGCTTCAGTCCCACACATCACACAAGTGCACAGCTTTATTGTGGGTATAGCCACCCCAAGTGGCCCCACCCACTTTTACCACTGCTTAAGGAACTGAGTCCAGGTCTTCCCAAGGAAATTCTATGTACAGCATTAACTCAGTAAATCAGCTGGATGGGACAGTGAATGCTGAGAACTGTGATACAAAGTCTTGAGCACTCAGTGTAAAGTGCCTGTGTTAGAGGACCTACTGCAGGGAGATTTTTCATGGGTTATACTGCATATGCCCTGATAGGCAGAAGGGGACTGTTCCTGGCCTATCTGGACAAAAGTGAATAGCAGAAAGGGACTGAAGCTCAGGAGAAAGGTCACATTCAGGACAGTAGCATCTTCACCCCATGCCTCTCCTATAGCATTGTCCAGTGACAGCTACACAGAGGCCTTCAGACACCACAGCAGGTCCCTGGATATTCTGCCCTCTGGGAAAACTAGGTCTCGTGTGGATTTGCAGTGTTACTTAGGATGTTATTTATTTATAAGACCAGGTTTTACCTTTCGTTGAGGTGGGAAACAGCACGGAATAAAGAAATGAGGCTGTTTAAATTGTGAGTCCTGGCACTGGTGTTTTAAGTCATTAAAAAGATAACATTTAAAGGAAACCACCCGAGAGAGAGTTCCTTGCTGGGGTAGGTGGGGGAGAAGGAGGGAAGCGGGTGCCTCTGAGAATAAAACGCATAGAGACAGTCCACTTAAAGAAGTAGCCCTCTGGTCGCCACCTCTAACTGAAGGAGTTTTTATGTGCCGGGGCTCTGTGTAAGATTTCTTTCGAAAATGGAGTATTACTGTATAAAAAAGAAAAAGTGAAAACCACTGACTTAGTCCAAGCTCCTCACTGTGTGATAGGGTTGCCGTGGAAAAGAGGGTGGCTTGACTCTTCTGAAAGGCAAGGAAGGGCTGAGGAAACAGGAAGGCCCACTAACTCCATGAGACCCATTGATGGAACGGGGGAGTGCTGTGGCCTAGGAAGTCTGTCCATGAACTTGGTGGGTTTCGTGGAGCTAATTCCAATTTAGGGAAATTCAGGCTTCCCCTCTTTTCTTTTTTTTTTTTTTTCCTACTACCATCTCATTTGTGAAATTCTGGGTTTCTCCACATTAGTACAATCAAACTCCTACCCCAAATCACTGCCTCATTAGGTGGTTATTGAGTTTTTCCCGAGCACCCACTGTTTGCCAATCCCCTTAGGTGTAAGGATTGAGCTTTTATTCCTTAGGTCAGTGAAATTTCCATGTTCTCACCTCCTGTGGCAGTAGGGAAGGCCATGTCCTGGTGACATTTCACCTCCAATAACAGTTCACTGAGCTGGAGAGTTCTGTCAAACTCTCAATAGCTAACACGCATTTAGCTACAGCATGGGTATATCCTTGTCTTAAAGGAGTGGATTTCAAATCAGCAGATGCTCTCAGAGCCATGTCTTCCTGGGAGACACACAACAGTGCAAAAGCATTTATTGAGCCCTGACTGTATGCTGGCATTCTACATGCTTAAGTGGGCCACCTCATTAACTGCTCATAGCAACTCTGTGACGTATGTATTATTATTCCTATTTTGAGGTGATTTAAGAGGTATTATGAGCCCTGGCCGGTTTGGCTCAGCGGTTAGAGCGCCGGCCTGCGGTCCGGAGAGACCCGGGTTCGGTTCCCGCTAAGGGCACGTACTTCGGTTGCAGTTTGTCCCCGGCCCTGGTTGGTCGTGCAGGTGGCAGCCACTCGATGTGTCCCTTTCACGTTGATGTTTCTCTCTCTCTCTCTCTTCCTCTCTCTCCCTCCCACTCTATCTGTACAAAAAATGGAAAAATGTCCTCAGGTGAGGATAAAAAAAAAAAAAAAGAAAAGAAAATAAGAGGTATTATGAGGCTCACCAAAGAGGAAAACTGATCTGTGCCAAATGCTTTATAAGCCAAAACTCCCCACTGAAAGTGATCTTAAAACAGCTCGGGCAGGTTCAGGTGAGGTTTGTTTCAACAGCTCAAAGAATGACCTTGTTTCCAGTTGTCCCTATATGTCAGCCAGCAGAATGAAAGGCATCTTTCTGCTAAGCCAAAATCCAAAGTTCACTTGGATTGGACCAATCACTAGCCCAGAAATGGGGGGCGGAGGAAGAGCCCACCTCTCCCAAGTGACGGTACTGTAAAATGAAACATTCCATGGAGGAAGAGGGCAAACAAAAAAACATGATAATAAAATTACTACCTCTAATTTATCAGTGAATAAATAAGCTCAGAGAGGCCAAGTGGCCTGCCCAAGGCCACACAGCCAGGAAAATGACCCATTTCACTGATGAGCAAATTGAGGCTCAGAGAGGGATAGGGGTTTGCTCAAGCTCACTCAGCCAGGAAGCATGTAGCCCAACTCATTGGTGGGAGCCACTAGGCCTACTCACTGTCACTTCCCGCCTTCCTGCCTCCACAGAACCGAAGTCAGGCCCTAAATTCTGCTCATTTGCTCATATACTTGTTTAATGCTTTCTCAGGCCCTCCAGAGCCCTGTGAGGGTCCGTCTTAGTCACTGCCATGTCCTTAGCACCCACGTGTTGTGTGAGTAAATGGATGAGTGCCTCTCGACTCCCAGTATTTCAGTCCTTGGACTACTTGAGGCAGCAGCAGGGGACACAAGGAGCAGGCCCTGATGGCAGGACCATGCACAGAGCCCGCCACCCCCACGGGATTCCAGCACTGTCATCTGAGCAGTGTTTACGGGAGGGGAGCGGAGCGTCCTGGCCTGAAGTTAAAGATAGCACAGTTCTGAATCACTTCACTGGCTGAAAAGGTGAGATGACCAACCCCTGGGACTGCTGGCACAGCAGGGCACCAACTCCATGTACCTGGAGAAAGGATGGGTGGGGTATGGATTCCTGTAGGAGAATCTGTTAGGACTGGACAGAGTGGTTCCATCCAGAGGTTGTCCCATGTGTTAGGCAATTCCCAGCCCAAATTCAGGCAGCACCACACCTCTTGCAGGGCTGGGGGAGAAATGTTCCCTCCCCTGACCCAAATACCTGTGGTTCTTGTAGGTCACAGAAGAGACTTTGAACTTAGATATTAAACAAGACAGTTTTTTTCAGTGGTTAGAGCTTTGGCCCACGGACCAAAGAGTCATGGGTTCAATCCTGGTCAAGGGCACAAAACAAACAAACAAACAAACAAACAAACAAAAAAAGGCATTTGAGATCCCCCAGGGAACTCTGTCCCCCAGGACTATGCCCTAATGTCTTCTATTATAAGCCCATTGAGCAATGATCTTGATAAAATAGCAGCTCCTTCATGAAGCCCTCCCAGATCATCAAAGGCACAGGCCCACCCATCCTCCACTGCATCCCCCTGTGTATTCCCTTCTAAACCCTTATAACCATATATATATATATATATATATATATATATATATATCCTCACCCGAGGATATTTTTCCATTGATTTTTTAGATAGAATGGAAGGGAAGGAGGGGAAAGAGAGAAAGAAACATTGATGCAAAAGAGACACATCTATTGGTTGCCTCCCACAGAATTCCAGCCAGGGCAGGGGGTGAACCTGCAACCCAGGTGTGTGCCCTTTACTGGGAATTGAACCCGTGACCCTTTGGTCCACGGGCCAACACTCTAACTGCTGAGCCAAACCAGCTGGAACAATTATCTTTTTATTATTGTTGAAATTATTACAGATGTCCCCCTTTTTTCCCCATTGACCCCCTCCTTCCCGCTCCCACCCCCTTCATGCCTTCCCCAGCCTAGTGTCCATGTCGATTGGTTATGCATATATGCATATAAGTTCTTTGGTTTCTCTCTTTCCATCCCTTCCACCCCCCTATTTTTCTGAGGTTTGCCAGTCTGTTCCCTACTTCCATGATAAAATCATCTTCTTTATGTGCTTCCTTTGTTCATCGTGTCCCTTCCCTGAGACGTCACCTACACAAGCTCATTCCCTGCTGTGTTCCCAGTGCCTACAGAAGGCCTGACACACAGTAGCTCTGTAAATGTTTGTTGAATGAATAAATGAACTCACATGGTTTGCTCTAAAAAGAGCAAGGAGCCCTGGCCGGTTTGGCTCAGTGGTTAGAGCATCGACCAGAGAGACCTGAGTTCAGTTCCCGCTAAGGGCATGTACCTCGGTTGCAGTTTGTCCCTGGCCCTGGTTGGGTCGTGCAGGTGGCAACCACTCGATGTGTCCCTTTCACATCGATGTTTCTCTCTCTCCCTTTCCCACTCTATCTGAACAAAATATGGAAAAGTGTCCTCGTGTCCTCGGGTGAGGATACATACATACATACATACATACACACATACATAAAATAAAAAGAGCAAGGAGGCCCGAGTGGCCAGATCAGAAGACCGAGGGAGAGCTGGGGCCGCAGGCAGATGGTGCAGGGCATTGAGGCCCCAGTGAGCTGTTTGAGTTTGATCTTTAGGGAGACAAGCAGCTGTGGCAGTTTCAAGTTGAAGAGGAGTGACCTGATTTAAGTTTTGAGGTCACTGTGGGTGAGGCTAGAGGAATGGTTTGGGGTGAATCTAGAGACCATGGGTGGAGGGTGGAGGGAGATAGGCAGGTGTCCCAGTGAGCACGGGAGATGTGGGCTAGGCCAGGCCATGCCATGGGTGGAAAGAAATGGATGGATGTCAGATCTACTTTGGAGTTGGGCTGGCAAAAGCCGTTGATGATCTAGTTTGGAGAATGGGAATTGAGAGGAGTTTAAAATGTACTCCTAGGTTTTGAGCCAGAGCCAGTAGGTAGATGGATGGTGGGGCTGTTTAATGGGCTGGGGAGAAATGGAGACAAGTTCTGGACCTGAGGTGGCTCTAGGGGCTCATGGGAGCCCCACGTAGCTGCCTTGTTCACCACTGTATACCCAGTACCCAGAAAAATGCTTGGCATACAGTGAGCACTCAGTCAGTATTTGTTGACTAACAGATGGCTCTCAGTCCTAGAGAAGGTATGCCTTTGAGTTGCTGAAGTGGCTTAGCATTGACTTCTAGACCTCAAACTCAGATGTCACTTGGGGCTAGCAGGTAACACAGGTGGGTGGGCAGCTGGGACCCAGCTTCAGTCAAAGAAGAAATCACAAAGAAAACTGGAAACTGTTTTGAACTGAGAATAAAACACAACATATGAATTGTGTGAATGCAGTGCTAGAGAGAAATGCATAGTTTTAAGTATTTAGAAGAGAGTAAAAATGGAGATCAATGATCTACGACAGGAGCCTGCAAATTCCAGCCAAATCCAGCCTCCTTTTTTTAAGTCCTTTTTTTTTTCTTTTATCCTCACCCAAGGACATTTTTCCATTTTTTGTTCAGATAGAGTGGGAGGGAGAGAGAGAGAGAAACATCGATGTGAAAGGGACACATCGAGTGGCAGCCACTCGCATGATCCAACCAGGGCTGGGGACAAACTGCAACCGAGGTACGTGCCCTTAGTGGGAACCGAACCGGGGTCTCTCTGGACCACAGGCCGACGCTCTAACTGCTGAACCAAACCGGCCAGGGCCCAGCCTCCTTTTTTAAGTAAGATTTTAATAGAAACCAAAGCTGCTTTAAATTTTTTTAAATTTATTTTTAGAGAGAGGGAGAGAGAAACATCAGTTTGTTGTTCTATTTATTTATGCATTCATTGGTTGCTTCTTTATGTGCTCTGACCAGGGATCAAACTCACAACCTTGTGGTGTCAGGACAATGCTCTAACCAACTGAGCTACTCAGCCAGGGCTTTTTTTTTTTTAA